AAGTGAGAAATCACTGGGTGATGGCTACACTGTAAATCCTTCTCTATTCTCCTCCCAGGGTTTTGTGCATCCACACAGTCGTTCCCGTGTTTTTCAAGCTACCAGGACCAGGATTCAACCCGTGGAGCCAGTAATGTGGGATCCGGTGCCTCAACCACCATGCCATCTGTTGACACTCTTGTTTTTGTTTTTTCTCTATATAGCTTTTATCTCTATATAGCTTTTATCTCTATACTTTACCATTTAAAAAATTTCCTTCAGCCTGTATTCACTATGCTTTTTGTTATTGCTTGTGGTTTCCAATAATGCTTTAATTTCTCCAATTTTAAAAATCTTCATTTCTCTAATCTCCACCAATCTTGTTTTCTTAATTTGCTATAGGGCGTGTGCGCTCACAGTGAGGAGAAAGGGCAGTGAGAAAGCAGCCTCTGGGGGTGGGGATGGCCATGTTGCAATCCCTCCTCAATAATCTTTGGAATTTTGGATGGAAACACACATAACACCTGTCATGTGTAAGCCACCAGGTCCAGGACTCCAATCACACAGTTGACAACTAGGTGGGATCCAGCCACCTTCACCACCACATCATTAGGTGGCCCTCAACCTATCTTACTTTCCCTTACTTTAATTTGCCAGAAGGCATGTGTACTTGGCCAGAGACAGAGAGGCAGGAGTGTGTGTATCCTAGTGCAGTATGGTCACATCACAATGCCATTCTCCATCTTGTTGGGATTTGGGGCATGCATGTGCCTAACATTTTTTAAGCCTTTATGGCTGGGACTTGAACCATGTGGTCAGCCATGTGAAATCTGATTCCCCTAACCACTAGTACATGGATCCAGCTCCTATCTCTCAGTCTTTTTCTGTTAGAAAAATCCAAGTACTCTGTTAGGGTTTTTTTTGTCTGTGAGAATTTGTGCTACTTTAATCATCTATGATGATTGCTCTCTGACTATTGCTTATTTGGAACCGTCTCACCAGACCCATTTTTTTAAATTAGGAACACAGGTGTTTTCATGTTAGTATTAAGAGGTTATGCTCTTTGGCAAAGCTTTAAAAGCAGTGTGTTTCAAATTTTGGGAAATGAAATCAATTTAGTGATTTATACCCAGTATTTTAAAGCCAAATGGGGGCAGCAGGTGGCTTGGTAGTTAAGGTCCTTGAGTCCCAGACTTGGTGACTTACTTTCTCTCTGGTGAGCACATGTACCCTATAGCAAATTAAGAAGTAATAATAAATGAAACTAAAATATTTACAACCTAATAGGAAATAATGTATTTTGCATAAGACATAAGCATTGTTTCCTGAAATTTGTTTCAGTACAGGATATACATTTTTTTCTTTCAGATACAGGTTCACTGTGACAATCCTGTTTCGGTCTCCCAACTGAGACCACAGGCATACCCTGCCAAGTCATAGTTCTTCATTTAAGACAGGGTCTCACTGTGTTGCCCAGGATAGCCTTTCATCTCCCTGGGTCACTGGGATAACAGGCACTGGCCATTGGGCCTGGCCTTTTATTTTGAGACTGTTCCCATGTGGTCTTACTCTGTAGAACAAAGTGTTTTAGAAGCATATGCCACTGAAATCCTAAAATATATGTATTTTTCTTTTTGAAAAATGATTTAATTTGAACAGAGAGACATGGGGGGGAGGGGGGGAGGGAATGAGAAAGCAAGCTACCAGGTCCAGGATTTGAACCATGGTCGGATATGTGGGAGTGTCCAGCATCTTGACCACCATGCCACTTGCTGGCCCATATTTTTTTCTTACATTTGCTGGAGGGTATGTGCACTTGATAGACACAGAAGAAAGTAGCAAGTACCCTCAATGGGGGATGGCCACATTGCAATCCTCTTCTCTCCTTTCAGGATTTTGGGCATGCACACACATGTGCCTGGCATGTTTTTCGAGCCTCCAGATCCAGGACTCAAACCACACAGATGGCCATGTGGGATCCAGCCATCTTAAACTCTATGCCACTGGCTGGCCCCTAAGATACAGGCTCTAATAATGATTTGAAGCTACCATTCCTAGGCCTTATCAAATAGCTAGCACAGATGACAGATAACGGCCCTTTAGCAAGGTTTGTTGTCTCCTTTGTAGTTACTTTATGAAAATGATCTTGAAAGATGTTCAACATGTCCCAATTAAGTATTTTTATCATAATTAAGTTTCCAGCAGTTCGCTGGCCATCCTGCTCTAATTTGGTCTGACCTCCATATATCTAAGTAAGTGTATATAGAAGTTTGCTTGGGGAGGTTTGTTTCTATTACTAAAATCTGTTGGAGCTAGCTGTGGTGGTGCAATGGTAATGCAATGCTGAAAGCCCAATGGGAAAGTCCTGGGTTTTCATCTCGAGGTCTCCCTGTAAATGCCAACCAGCTGTGTGTGCCTTTGATCCTGGTTGGCTGAGGGTGGGGAATGGACTGCAGCATGAAGACTCGTGTGGGGGTACCTCTTTCTCTCATGGAAGAAATAAATAAATGAAAACAAATTTCTCTTGGAGTCTTTTTTGTGGGTTTATTTTTACTTTAAAATAAATTTATTTTAACAATATACTAGATGAGACTCGGTTGGTCTGTGGATCATTTAGCCAAAGGTATTTGCTTCCACCTGAATCTCTTCAGGAGAGAAATAAGTGCCGGGACTTTATCACAGACTTAAATAATGTTGATTATATAAATTTTAAAAGCCATATAAAATATCATAAACCACAACAGCTCTATGGACAACTTTCATCACCCGAAGCATTATGAGAATCATTTAATATGAAAGCTCAGATTTTAAAAATTCTTTAATATTGTAGCAAAAATCCTTCAGTTCAATACCAAGTAATAGAATTTATATCCTTTGGCCACATACATCTTCCCAAGAAACTGGATCCTGTAAGGAAACTGATCATCACATATCTGCTGAAACTGCTAGTTGTTGGAAGTCTCAATCACTTTTTTTTTTTTTTTTAGTTTTTTTGCAGTAGAGTGACTGTGAACAAGCAAGAGACAGTGAAAGAGAAAGTAAGAAATCATCCCCCAGGGAGGATGAGGATGGCCATACCACAATCCCTTCTCTGATTTTGGGCATGCACACACAGGCATGATTTTTAAGACACTGGGTCCAGGACTTGAACTGTGGGTGGCCACGTGGGAATCCAACACCTTAACCACTAAGCCACCTGCTAGCCTCAATCACTTGACTTTTTAAAGGAGGAAATCTAAGTATAGGTAAAAGGTACTCATCTAGTAAAGATGCTAATGCTCTCGACTGTCAATGCCCATGGAGGCTTTATTTAGTCCTTACTTTGCTTCTGCATTTTTAAAAAATTATTTATCTTTTTAAAATTTGTTTTAATTTGACCATAGAGGGACAGAGAGAGAAAGTGAGAAAGCGAACTACTCAAATCGTGGTCTGTCATGTGGGAGTCCATCGCCCTTAACCACCATGCCACTTGCCAGCCCCTGCTTCTGCATCTTAGACCCTTGGCTGCTTTGACTTATTTTGATAGTACCTTTCCAATTTGTTTGTTCCAGTTTTTAATAGGTGACCTGTTATCACCGCTTATCACCATTGCTTGTTGATGTCCTATGGTTCTATTGTTTGCTTTCTTTTTTTCTTTTTTAAAATAATTTAACTTCTTTTCGTCTTTATTTCAGGTTTTTTTTTTTTTTTTTTGGAGAGGTTTTCACTATAGGGCGCGTGCGCTCACCAGAAAGAGACAGAGACAGAAAATGAGAAATCACCCCCCAGGGGGAGACGGCCACACTGCAATCCCTTCTCCTCCATTCTCCTCTTGGGATCCTGGGCACACACACACACACGCGCCTGGCATGAGTTCAAACCACTGGGTCCAGGATTCAAACTGCAGTCGACCACATGGGAGTCCAACACAGCCATTACACCAACTGCTGGTCTCGTATTTATTTCAGTTTGACCAGAGACGGACAGTGTGAGAGAAAGAGGGAAAGTGAGAAAGCAAGCCTCCAGGTCCGAGACTTAAACCATGGTTGGCCATGTGGGAGGTCCAACATCCCAACCACCACACCACCTGCCAGCACCTATTGTTTGCTTTTCACATACAAACATACATTCCTAAATAGTCTCACCTGCATCTTATACATTTCTTTTTTTAAGAGATTTTTGCTATAGGGTACATGCACTTGCCAGAGAGACAGAAAGCAAGAAACCACCCCCCAAAAAGGACTGTCATGCCACAATCTCTTTACCATTCTCCTCTTGGGATCTTGGTTACGTGCACGCACACACCCACACCCAAGTGTGATTTTCAAGCCTCCATGTCTGGAACTCTAACCATGGCTGGCCATGTGGGAGTCCAGTGTCGCAACCATTACCCCATCTGCTGGTCCCCCAGCCTAGATTTCTATGCTAAACTCTAGCCCCTATTGCAACTGTCTAGGCTTTATCAGTAGCTATGCCATAACCATGTAAAATTAAGCTTCTTAAATTCAGTTCATCATTCTCACTACTACCATAAACCTCTTGCTCACTGCTCCTCTTAAATCTATCTCTTCCTGCTATATTTTCTGATGATGTGAATGGTACTGCTATCCAACAACTCAAGTCAAAACCATAAGTAGTAGATAATTTCCTCACCATCTTAACCTTTCTCAATCCTGTTGTCTTACTGCTACTCATTGAGCTTAAATAATGTCAGTGGTCATTGGATAAAGGCTGAACACCTTAAACTGAAATTCAGGGCTTGTGAGGAAGAACAAATGGCATCATGTAAGGATGTGTTGTGTAAAGGTTATATGCGCTACTCTCTGTTGAACTACTCAGTGAAACTGGATTAATTGATCCAGAAACCTTATGTCTGAATGCCTTCTGTTCTTATAAAACTGCTCCTAACCATACTCTTTTCATGTTTATTACTACTATTTCTGTAAAAAACTATGTTTTTACTTATTTGATATTTGAATACTAGCAGGAGCACAAATCCCAAAATTCTCAAAGAAATTCCAATGCAGAGCAAACTACAGAAAAACGAGAAATAGGTTTGTCAGGTTTAATAGCAAAAATGGAAAGGGTCAACATACAGTGACATCCTTTCCCTGTTATTCATGTTTCCTTGCCCCCCACCCCCAACTTCCTACCCTCCTAAGTTTGAATACAGTCAAGGTTGGTTGGGTCAAAAATGACCTTAGGAAATTTCATGATCCTTCAAAAGTGTTGACTATAATTCAAAAAGAGATACAAAACTCGGCACCTCTTTCATTTAAAATGAAAGTGGAGAAACGATATGAAAAATCAAAATATAGCTGCCTGAGTAGATCTTAATTCTATATAGACAGTTACCCTCATATTCATTGGACATCATTTGGGCTAAAATCAAATTGAGTCCATTATTCATTCCCCCTCCGGCTCTTCTTGTGGCCTTTCCTAGACCTGAAATGGAAACACAAATCATTAAATTAAGGAGCTGGACAAACACTTTTGAGAGACCATAGTATTCTAACACTGACAGGAATGAAGACAATTAAATGTGCTTTGTGTTTTTTAAGTCTCAGAGCAATACTCTTGAGTAAGGCATTACTATCCAAAATTAACAACCTCTGAGAGGTTAAGAGTGCACCTACAAGTATACTGTTTACAGGGGTTTCTAGTGAAAGCTTATTGAATCAAAGTGACTTTTTCAAGGTCAAGTTTTAAAAGGTGAAACTAAGACCCAAGATGACTTAAAGTGTATCCATTTTGCAAACTGGTAACCCCTGTAAAGAAAAACAAGGGCCAGCCAGGTGGTAGTGTGGTTAAGGCAGCTGGATCCCACATGGCCAACTATGTGGTTCAAGTCCTGGGCCCCATGGCTTAAAAAAATGCTGTGTGTGTGGTGGGAGTGGGCGTGGGTGCGAGCATGCGCGTGCTCGCACGAGCCCGTGCATACCTCCTCAAAGTCTTGAGAGAAGAAAGGAGAAAGAATAACAGTATAGTCACACACACGCCCCCTGGGAGTGCTTTCTGCTTTCTTACTTTCTGTCTCCAGAGAGCACATGTGCCATATTAAAAGAAATTAAACACACACACACACACAAAACACATAATCCTAGTACTTTCAGAACAGACTATTTTGATTTGTAATAAAGTCCTAACATCCCCATCAAAACAGAATTTTAGATCCAACTTACTTGTAATTAAGACTTAAATTCCTGAGTAAAGAGTTAAAATACCAGGGGCTGGGGCTGGCAGATGGTGTGGTTAAGAGCACTGGGCTCCCACATGGCCGACCGTGGTTTGAATCCCAGACCCAGCAGCTTGATTTCTTGCTCTCCCTCTCTCTTACTCTGTCCCTCTATGGTTAAATTAAAAAATAAATTAATAGCTGCCATTCAATATGGTAGTGTTAAAAAAGAAAAAATATCAGGGGTCAATTCATAGAAAGTGTGTTCTATAAAGAAACAGCATGGATTTCAATTTTTTTGTTTAAAATGAAAATGATTCAATTTGTCCACAAACATTCTGAAGTCGCCCCCTCATGAGATCAATCCATACCTTTCAGGAGACTTTGAGTGGCTTCTGTGTCTGTGACTACGGTGATGACCTGGGAAAGACAAGACCAGTAAGATTCTACCTTCCTGGGGTCAGCAGGTGCTGTGATGTTTAAGGTGCTGAACTCCCACATAGTTGACCGCGGTTCAAGTCCTGGACCTAGTGGATTGAAAATCAAGCTGGGCAAACATGTGCATGCCCAAAATCCCAAGAGGAGAATGGAGGAAGAAGGAATGCAGCACGGCCCTCCCCTTGAGGGAGGGATTTCCTCACTTTCCTTTTCTCTCTCTTTCTCTAGTGAGTGCACATACCCTATGGCAATATATATATATTTCCCCCATCTTCCTTCTCTTAAAGTATGGTTCTCCCCTTCTCCAATTTCTCCTATTGGCTGAATATTTTTTGGCCTACACTGGGAATAACTCTTGATGGAAACACCTGTCTGAACTGAGATGTGTGTGAAAGTAGTAATACCACAAACATGAGGTCTCTATGGCAAATTTCACAAATATCACATTGGATTTTTATCACTACTTTATCAGGTTTCATTTCCATATTTCTATTATAGCAGTGAAACTTATGAGAGTCAATGAAATGAAAACCCTAATTTTCAAATTCCACTTCCATTTCTTTTCCTGCTAGGCAACAGTACAATCAGGCGACTCACTGCTCTGCCTTTATTTCTTTGTTAAGACAACCAGTGGCAAAAGGCCCAAATTCTATACCTGGGGATTTGGAGCGGGATCTGTGCCGTCGATCTCGGGACCTGCTGCGGTGACGTCTTGGACTCTTGCTCCGATGTCTTTCTCGGCGAGGTGAGGGACTATGGAAAAGAATGGTGAGACTACCAGATCTGTTTGGCAACAGATCCCTACCCCAAACCCCTACCTCTACCCAAAACTTTACTCTTCATAACAAATGACAGAAAGTCTACCTTCTCCTTTTGGGAGATCGGCTCCGCCTACAGAGAAAGAAAAGAGAGTAAAGAGGAGGGTCTATATTGGCGCACAGAATGTTGTAGATTGCAAAAATGGCCCCAATTCTTGTTTACCCTTCTCTGTATCCATGTTCTTTGTCATGTAACTCTGTAGCACCTAACCTTAACTCTGGAATTGGCCATGTAACTTGCTTTGACCAATGGGATATCTGCAGAGGTCATTCAAGCTGATACTGGAAAAACTTCTATGGTTTGGCCTGTCTGCATTTGAATTCTACCAGTGTAAGAGAACATGCCCAACTTAGTCATTCCAGCCAAGGCCACCCTATGCCAGCCAACAGACATTTGTCTGCAAAACAGGTGAGCAAATGTAGTTTATATTTCAAAACCTACCTTTCCAAGCCCACCTTAAGTAACTTAACTGTACACTTATGAACTGAAGAAACAGTGTCATCAACCATTGAGGTTTTGTGGGTGGCTGTTTTTGCAGCAATGCATAACTAATACATCAAGCGAACATTTTCCATAGAGTAGCCTTTTTCTTTCTCTGAAATCCAAACTTCTAAGCTATTAGCTCAAAGTCTCCTTGGAAGAGGCCAATGACAAGGACCTGACCTTCTGGGAGACCGGCTTCTACTTCTCCTATAGCGTAGCGTGGGAGAACGGCGGGGCTTATCCAAGTCTCGGTAGCTTCTCCGGCGATGGTCAGGTGATGCTATTAGAAACAAGATAGATGGGACAATGATCGGTACAGGATTTTAGAGAACCAACTAAGAACACTGATTATACTCCCCTGCCCACCCTGTCCCAAAGTCTATTGCCAAGTGAGTAACTACATATAGGGATAACCCTATAAAGACAAAAAGAAAAGAAAGAAATTGTTTCTATACAATCTCATTATCATCCTATCATTATACTGGGACTATGTGAGTGTAGTGACAAAGTTGATCTCCCTAAGAAATTGGATTTCCAGTGTAAAAGAGAGATGCAAATGTAAACCAGTCAGGTTAAGTCCAAACTCATGGGGTATTTTAATACTCAAAAAAAATTTTCCCCCTAGCTCTGTCAAATGTAAAAACCTCTCAATTCTAAATAACCTGTTAGCAATTAGCACTTACAATGCCTAAACTGTGGTAACTATAATATATAATTCCCATTAAAAGAAACTTAGGGAACAATAGCTAATTCTACATCTACAAGACATGACTAGAACCTACTATCATTCAAGGAAACAAGGACGCTATCAGAGACTATGTATCAAAAAGTCTCAGAGAGTCAAGCTAATGGGATCCACTCCTGCAATGGGGCGTGGTCCCACATAATCCTTTTTAAAATTGTTTTTATTTAAATTTATTATTTATTTATTTAGTTAGTTAGTTAGTGAGAAAGCAAGCCGCCAGATCTGGGACTTGAATCGCAGCTGGCCATGTGGGAGTCCAACACCTTTAACCACCATGCCATACCTGCTAGCCCCCATACTCCTTTCTTTTCTCTGTTCCTCCCTTTTTGGGATTTTGAGTACATACATCCTGGCATGGTGTCTAGACTTAAACTGCACACAAATCAACCATGTGAGATCTGACTACCTTTATTATCAACTCACAGAATGGGTCCCAAATACGCTTAAATCCACAAGTTCACGGTGTCACCAAAGACAAAAGAACATTCATCACCATAGGAGGATACTATGGAACCTACTCATTAAACATTAATAAAGGGGGAAAAATTAATTATTTATCTTGTTTTCCCTATGGAAACATAACCTATGAAAAACTGAATGCTTTTCAGAATGATTTCTCTCTCTCTCTTTTTTTAAGAGAGATTTTTGCAATAGGGTGTGTGTGCTTTCCAGAGAGACACAGAGATAGAAACCAAGGAATCACTCCCCGGGGGGATGGCCATGCTGCAATCCCTTCTCCTCCCTTATTCTCTTGGGATTGGGGCACTCACACACACAAACACACATGCCTGGCTTGAGTTTCAAGCCACTAGGTCCAGGACTTGAACGGTGGTTGGTCATGTGGGAGTCCAGAAATGTAACCATTACACCATCTGAATGGAATTTTTAAAACGTAGTGTGAGACCACTGGTTATCCATATTGAGGAAGAATAAAATTAGAACCCTACCTACTTCAACCTAGACATGAAAATCAATTCTAGGTTAAAATTTCTTCTAGTTCCCTCTAGCCTTTTTCTGTGTATATATTGTTACATACAATTTTAATCACAAGTATTTTAGATCTACTTTAATATAAGCATTTTCCAAATTATCATATGCCTTCTATAATAGTTTCAAAGGCCTCCTAAGGTCTGTTGAGTTGCTTTTTGTTGACTGTTTCCTTTTAGCTGGGCAGGTTGGTAATTTTCAATTTTTCAGCATCATAGCTAGTACTAAAAGAATATGACTAGGTACTAGGCATTTCTCCTCCTGAACTAGGCTTATTCCTAAGGACAGATTCAATTATTAAAAGTGTTGTTCCCCAAACTATTTATTTTAGTAGCTACCATTAATAGGCAACTATAATGTGCCAATTCTATGCTAAGGGCTTTATTATCTCATGCAACACTTGGATTAATGTTAAGAGAAAAGTACCATTATCTTTGCTTTGCAGGAGAAAACCAAGGCTGAATAATTTACACAAGATTATACCACTACTAAATAGCAGAACTGGTTTATAGGACTCTAAAGCTCTCATTTTTTTTTTTGGGGGGGGGGAAGGTTTTTGCTATAGGACGCATGCACTCACCAGAAAGAGAGAGAGAGAAAAAGTAAGAAATCATCATGCAGGGGGATGGCCATGTCACAATCCCTTCTCCTCCATTCTTCTTGGGCATGCAGGCACATGTGCCCGGCATGAGTGTAAGTCACTGGGTCTGGGACTCAAACCATGGTCAACTACATGGGAGTCCAGCGACATAGCCATTATGCTAACTGCTGGTCCCAAGCTCTCACTTTTAATAAAAAAAAAAAATTGTGGTTTTTTTTTTTTTTTTGGTTAAATGAAGTTTAAAGTCAAAACCAAAAAAAGAACATTCCCAGCCTTTATAATTATACCTCCCTCATCCCTTCATCTCTCAAGTGCCTGACCTTCTCATCCTCCTCTTCCTCTTCTTCACTGGACTCCACATCATCCATGTCTTCTTCTAGAGCACTTACTCGAGGCTCCAGTTGCTCAGCTTCCTCAAGCACATAGCGTTTCTGCAGAGAACATAATGAGAAGTTACTGTCATGTCTTTTATATCCTGAAGCCCCAAAATTCATCCTTTGAGATTGATAAAGAGCCATGGAACAATAGCTAAGCAAATTCACTTCAAAGACAGTTCAAGATTTTCCCAAGTTTAATATGCCTGGAATCTATACACTCTTTTTTTTTTTTCCATAAATTGCCAGCTGGTGCATTCACTCACATGTGAGAGAGGGAGAGTGTAAGCACCCCTCAAGGTCGCATGGTCATGCTGAATCCTTTTTCTGCTATTTTTGCATCTTTGGGACATGCACACACATGTACCCAGTTTGATTTTCAAGCCAGTGAGGTCCAGATTTGAACTATAGTTAGCTATGTGGGATCCAGCTTGCTTGCCTTATTTTGTTCTTTAATAACTGCTATAGGGTGTGTAAACTCTCCAGGGAGGAAGGAGAGGGGAGGAGAGAGAAAAAGAAAGTAAGTGAGAAAGCACCCTCCCAGGGGTATAGCCATACTGCAGTCTCATCTCCTACATTCTGCTCTCAAGATTTTGAACACACATGCACCAGGAGTGTTTTTCAAGTAGCCAGGTCTGGGACTCGAACTGTGAATCAGCCATGTGGAATCCAGCCACCTTAACTACAACACCACTGGGTTGGCCCAGGGGATCCAGCTTTTTATGCATGGCACTTAACTGCTACACTAAAGGACTAGCTCCTATATACTCTTTTAAATTCCTCTATAAACATAAATCAAAACAAAAGAGAACACCTCAATTTTCTTTTGGCTCTATTCTGTCATCTTATACTCTAAAGTCCCTGGAACATCAATGAGTATAGGTATTGCCTAGAATAAAAAATGTGGACTTCATGTCCTTAGAAATGCAATGGATGAGACTACTAATAGTTCTATCAGAAGAGGCCAGTTCTAAAATGGCACCAAAATTTCCCCTAGACCAAAGATCCAAGGAGCTATTGAAATTCAAGCATTTTGAATTGAACACTAGATATAAACAACCCATCTCCTAGTTCCAGTCTCTTTTTGGATATGGCTCAGCACTACTTCTTTAAATGTGGAAGGAAAAGGGGAGTTCAAAAATGCCAAATAGGGGGGCTGGCAGGTGGCATGGTAGTTAAGGTGCTGGACTCCCACATGGCCAACCATGGTTCAAGTCCTGGACCTGGAGGCTTGCCTTCTCCCTTTCCTGCTCTCTCCCCAACCGCCTGGTAAAATTTAATAAATAAAATTAAATAATTAAAAAAAAAAATGCCAAATAGGGGTTGGCAGACGGCATAGTGGTTAAGACACTTGACATTAAAATATGGCAGGACCAGCAGTTAGCATAATGGCTATGTCACTGGACTCCCATGTAGTCAACCATGGTTCGAGTCCTGGACCTGGTGGCTTAAACTCACGCCAGGCGTGTGTGCGTGCATGCCCAAGATCCCAAGAGGAGAAAGGAGGAGAAGGGATTGTGGCGTGGCCATCCCCCCGGGGGGGGGGTGATTTCTCGCTATCTCTCTCTGTCTGGCTGGCGAGCGCATGTGCCCTATTGCAAAAACCTCTCAAAAAAAAAAAAAAAAAGAATTTAGTAATTCAGTCTCCCTTCTGGCCCTCTTATGTATTTTATTTACTTACTTTTTAATTACCAGAGGGTGTGCACATTGGCTAGACAGACAGAAAGAGAAACACACACACACCCCCAATGGGGCATGGTCCCATAATCTCTTCTTTATTTATCCACCCTGTCAGAATTCAAACCATGGTCACCCAAGTGCAATGTGACTCCCTTAACCACTATGTGGATATGTGGTCAGCCTACTTCTTATGGCTTTTTATATGAAGATCAATTTGAAAAAAGCCACTCAAAAAGTTTAAAGACTATTTTAGCTATGTTGTCTTTGAGATACCAACTTAAAGAAAAAGTTTTGTGTTAATTATACACTTTTAAAGCACTACCCTTCAAACACTTGATCTGTTTTCCTTTCACTCTCAATTGTCTACTTTTCTCATACACATAAAGACTACTTCTTATAAGAAGCTGAGAAACTTTTTTCTTTTGGTCAGAGGACACATGTGCTCACCAGGAAGAGAGAAATAAAATGAGAGCACACTTTCTATGGGGCATGGTCATGCCACAATCCCAGCTCCTCCATTTATCCCATGTTTTGGAGATGCATGCACATAGAACCAGCATGTTTACTGAAGCCACCAGGTAGAAGACTCAAAGTGTGTGACTGGCTACCTTAACTACCAGGTCATGGGCTGACCCCATGAAGATTACTTACTAAAAGGCCCAGAAGATCCCCGGGCTTCAATATTTTAATGTGCATGTGCACCTGTCTATCTGCCTATCCTGGGTGAGAAGGGTGACTCTGATAAGAGAATCTTATTTCTTACCTGTAACCGGGGCAGAATAATATCACAGACTCTCTCACTATGCAGTAATTCATCAATAAATTCATCTACATGCATCAGTTCAAACTCTGAAAGAAGAAAATCATAAGCTCAAACAATCTAAAATTAACAGATTTAGATAGCCAAAAAAGCAAAAGAAGCTGGGAACCAGCAGTTAGCGTAATGGCTATGTTGCTGGATTCCCACGTAGTTGACCGTGGTTCGTGTCCCGGACCCGGTGGCTTGGAACTCTCGCCAGGCACGTGTGCGTGCGTGCCCAAGATCCCAAGAGGAGAATGGAGAAGGGATTGTGGCGTGACCATCCCCCCTGGGGGGTGATTTCTCGCTTTCTGTCACTATGTCTCTCTCTGTCTGGCGAGTGCACGTGCCCTATAGTGAAAACCTCTCAAAAAAAAAAAAAAAGCAAAAGAAGCTTAAGAGTTTATATGAGGCTCTCTATGTACCAGGCCTCTTAGAAGAAATTAAAGAATAAATGAGGGTGTCCCAATTAGCATGAGAGACAAACACAAAAGCAAATACAAAGAGTCCTAAAATATGTAGGTGTAATCTTGAATAGATCCTATGACTCAAATGTAACTTCTCATATGAACTCACAATGTTTCTGAACATAGAACATGTATCTTTCTATTTGGGCATGGAAAACAAGAAATCACCCCACTCCATCCTCTGACACAATGGCCATGCCACAATCCCTTCTTCGTTCTCCTCTTGGGATTTTGGACATGCATACACAAACACCCTGAAAGCATGAGTTTTAAACTGCCGGGTCTGAGACTCAAACCACGCTAGACTATGTGGCAGTCCAGCAAAACAACCATTACACCATCTGTGGTCCCTAGAACATGTATTTTATATGACACCTCTAATAACAACTTTTACAACTTCCATAGGAAGCATTAACTTAGTTCAGTGGTTTTCAACCATAAGCAATGTTGCATGTTTTCCTACCCTCAACTACTTCCTTAGGTGATCTAATCGGTAGGTGCTGTTAAACATCCTAAAATACACAGGACAACTCTTACAGTGAAGAATTATCTGGCCCTGGGACCAGCAGGTTGCTGAACTCCCACATGGCCAAGTGCCATTCAAGTCCCAGACCTGGTGGCTTGCTTTCTCACTTTCCCTCTCTTTTTCTGTCTCATTTTGGTCAAATTAAAAAATAAATGAATAAATAAAAAATTAAATAAGTAATTCTTAAAAAAATATTACGAAAAAACACCAGGACTGGCAGTTAGCGTAATGGCTCTATCACTGAACTCCCATGTAGTTGATCACAGTTGAGTCCTGGACCTGGTGGCTTAAACTCACACCAGACACATGTATGTGCATGCCCGAGATCCCCAGAGGAGAATGGAGAAGGGACTGTGGCATGGCCATCCCCCTGGGGGTGATTTCTTGCTTTTTATCTCTCTGTCTCTTTCTGTCTCTCTGGCGAGCACACGTGCCCTATAGCAAAAAACTCTCAAAAAAAAAAAATTATGAAAAAAATTATCTGGCCCTAACCATTAACAGGCTGAGAAAGTGTCTTAATTTAGCATAATATAATCATAAATATGTTAATTCCATAATGGCCATGAACATTTTGTTTACCATGTTATTTCTAATATACAGTACAATAATTTGACATGTCATTGGTACATAATATCTAGCAGGCTGGACCTATAGCCTAGTGTTTGAGGCAGCCAGATCACAAACAGATGACCACAGCCTGAATCCCAGGCTCCAACGGTTTGAAAAGCACACTAATCATGTGTGCATGCATGCCCCAAATCCCAGCAAGATAAAGAAAAGGAGAAAGGATTTGGATATGACAATGCTTCTTTCCTTGTTATTGATCACATGCTTTCCTTGTTGTAGAGCACACGTGTCTTTTGGCAATTTGGAAAAAAAAAAATCCAGGCTACCATGTGGCATTGAGGTTAAGGCAGTTAGATCTCAGATGTCTTGATTCCACAGTTCGAATCCCAGATCCAGTGGCTTGAAAAATCACACTGGGCATGTGTAGGTGTGTGCCTAAAGTCCAGAGAGAAGAGACTACAGTATGGCCATTTCCCCCAGGGAGTGATTTCTCACTTTCCCTCTCACTCTCTCTCTCTCTCTGGCAAGCACACATGCCCAAGAGCAAAACAAACAAATAAAATATTTATTTTGGTCTGGCTGGTGGCACGATGGTTAAGGCACTGAACTCCCACATTGCCCACTGTGGTTCGAGTCCCAGATCTGGCAGCTTGCTTTCTTACTTTTTCTCTCTCTGGTAGCACACATGTGCTATACAAAATTTAAAGAAAAAAAAAATTAAATAAGTATATATGAAATATATATATTTATTCAATGAATAAATCAACAATTTAATGTAGTTTAAAGTACAATGTGGGGACTAGCAGTTAGCGTAATGGCCATGTCGCTAGACTCCCACGTAGTTGACCGCGGTTCGCGTCCCAGATCCGGTGGCTTAAAACTCACGCCGGGCGCGTGTGCGTGCATGCCCAAGAGCCCGAGAGGAGAATGGAGGAGAATGGATTGCAGCATGGCCATTTCCCTCTGTGGGTGATTTCTCGCTTTCTATCTCTCTGTCTCTGTCTGTCTGGTGAGCGCACGTGCCCTATACCAAAAAAAAAAAAAAAAAAACAAAATGGGAAATTCCTTTTTTTTTTTTAAGAGAAAGATTTTTGCTTTAGGGAGTGTGGGCCCATTAGAGAGACAGAGACAGAAAGTGAGAAAGAAATCACCCCCTAGAGGGATGGCAATGCCTCGATCCCTTCTCCTCTATTCTCCTCTAAGGATTTTGGATACACATACATACACTCTGTGAGTTTCAAGCCCACAGGTCCCGTACTTGAACCACAGTCGGCCACGTGGAAGCCCAGTGATATAACCATTATACCATCTGCTCGTTCCCAACATGAAATTCTTACCCTATTTAATAATACATGTGGAAAGGGGAATGGTAAATGTTACTATCTTCTGTTATGACACTGACATTAGGTAAGTAAGATCTTCTGGAATTACTCTGAATCCCTACTCATCTTTATCTCCTGTTACTGTCTTTAGCACAGAAAGTATCTTTTGGTAAAGGTGTGGAGCTGACCCTCTTGAATATACTTACTATTTTCCAGTGTGATTCCTAAATAAGATTAACAGATTGCTAAATAGACTCTTAGTCTATACACTACAGTATTAAAGTACAGTGTTAGAGGAGAACCCAGTAGATAGAATGTAAAGCAAACAGACTTGGTCTAGAAGGGCTAGAGAAGGCTTTTATAGAGAAGCTGTTATGGAGCTAGATGGATCTTGTAGGATACAGCACAGGTGGAGGGAGCACATGATATAAGAAGCAGTTGGAAAGAGAGGCAGATGGGGCAGACTGGGAAAAGTTAACAAGAAACTAGCAGACTAAATTTTTCCCAAGAGGGAGATGGGGGACCTGGATAAAGACAGTCAATGCAGATGAAGAGAAGCATTCACAGTGTATGTGACAATGTGAGAGTAAATACTGATACAATAAAAAGTAGCTTTGAGAGACCAGCAGATGGCATAATCGTTATGTCCCTGGACTCCCATATAGTCGACTGTGGTTCAAGTACCGGACGTGGCAGCTTAAGACTCAGGCTGAGTGTGTGTGTGTGTGTGTGTGTGTGTGTGTGCCCAAAATTCCAAAAGGAGAATGGAGGAGAAGGGATTGAGGCATGGTCATCCCCTGAAGGGCAATGTCTCGTTTTTTGCCTGTCTCTCTGGCAGGTGCATGCACCTTGTAACAAAAGTCTCTCATAAAATAAAAAATAATAAAATAAAATAAAACAAAAAGTAGCTTTGGAATAACTAAGCATCATACTCACCCCCATTTCGGTTCTGGCTCTTGATCTTTCTATAGTCGTTATATAAGGGTTCTAAGTACTTGTAACAATCAATTGCAGTGCCAGTCAGCCTCATATAAAGTGCCCCCAACATGCGGACATACCTGACAAACAGATGACAGTAAAACAACAAGCCATACTAAGAAATTCCTCAGTTTTACAACTGGCTTTTCTCATGAACATAAACAGTAAACACATTCTTTCTCTCTGGCAGACACGAATGTTGCAACTTTTAAGGTAGAATAAGGGTGAAGAGGATAGCTAAAACATAGAGACCTGGGTTGAAGTCCCCATTCTACTACTACTGGCAGTGCGAACTTGGTACATACTGTTCGACTTATAGACAGATCACCTATAAAACTATTTACCTCAAAGAATTATTCTAAAAATCAAACGAAATATTGCATTTAGCAACAGAAAATGTAAGATATATTTAGTAATAATACAAGAACTACACAGACACTAAAGATAGTTCTGGAAAAAAGTCACAGTCATCTAGGCTCAAATTCTGATTCCATAATTTACTAACTTGGTGATATCAGCCAGGTTGTTTGTTTTCTCAATCCTTGTAAAATGGAGATAATCCTACCTAATATATTGGCATAAGAAATGTGGGTAGCATGCGAAGTACAACATAAAACATGTAGCAAATGCCTAACAAAAGTTAGTTATTTTCCAGTCATTGTTTCATAAGATTTCTTCATTTTCCCTTTCCTCTACATCCAACTACTTACTCAAATCTTCACTTGGATAACTAGTAGGCATTTGAAATGTACTTGAACAGTTTCTTTATATGACAGGCAGAATAGTATAACAAAGAATAGATTCTGAAGCCAGCTTTATTGCTTACTGGCTTTTTATTTTTTCCCAGTTTATCCCATGAGTAAGAAAAAAAGAAAGAAAAACACACACACAAACATACCCCACCCCAACATGGGTCTTGATGCCATGATCCACCCCCAGTTTTAGCCAGCCCTGGATCATAGGCACATGCATGCCTGGAAAACTCAAGGAGGTCTCCAGAAGCAAACCTAGAAGCCCCTGCTATGTGAGTCAGCCTTGCAAGAATCACATTTTACTGTGCACCACCATCCGGCCTAATGCCATCTACTAGCTTTTTGACCTTGGACAAGTTATTTAATATCTCTGTGCTTCAGTTTCCTCCCTTGTAAGATAGGGGTCATTTTACAGAGTTATTGTCAAGATTAAATGAATTATTATATGTAAAGTCCTCAGAACAAAGTATGGTATACAACCAGGTCTTATTATGTTTGTCTTCTACGCTTATCTGTGAAAATGGATAATAAAATAGTAAGAAAAGCTGACTTTTTAAGGTATTTACCATGCAACGGGCACTGTGTTGAGAGGTTTGCATGTGTTATATTGAATAGTTTTAAAATTTCTTACCAAAGCTGAGTAGGTATTTTTATGCCCATTTTACAGATCAAGAAAATAAAGCTTAGAAAATTAAGTTTCTCCAAGGTCACTGTCAGAGTAACAAAGTCTAAACATGCCCCCAGAGGCAACACATTGTTTTTTTACACCCTCTGTTGGTTTTCTTCACCCTTTATACCAACATACCATGCACTCATTTCTACTTATTATGTGTTCAGTAGATTTGTGAAATCTTTTTTGGTGGAAAAATCACCATGACTGAAAAAATAAAGTAGATTAGCATTATCAGAGCAGATAAAAATAGGAACTCAAGGGCTCAAGGGCAAAAACCTACAGTGGAACTAAAAATGATACACATTGTGTTCACTCTTTATAACCAAAGCCCAACTCTGAACCACTGAAACTGAACTATCTATATTAGCTAACATTGTACTCACTTAAAATCTTCATTTTTTATAAACTCCACAATTATATCCTTTTCTGGTTGAATCTGAAGCATCTTCAATGTTAAACACAGAAAGGGCATTGGTTTTATGTTGGCACCATAGACACCACCAACAAACCTTAACTCCATGGCTTTATCAACTACAAGTTCAGCTAAAAACAAAAACAAAAACAGAAAACCACAGAGTGACATCTCAGACATATTAGGGGTAAGCTTTTCCTGGTTGGAAGTGAAGATAGATTAAATTTTGTTGTTCAACATCTAAATACTCATCAACAACTTAACATAAGAACAGGTGTGTATTAATAGTAATGGTCGTAGCCAATAATACACTGAAGACATCCTATATGCCAGATACTCTGCTAGGCATTTCACACCACCACATTAAATCCTTACAGCAAGCCAAGAAGAAAGTTCTACCATTGTTCCTACTTCCAGGTAAGGAAAATGAGGGAATAAGAAAGGTTATGTGACTTGAACTCAAGGTCCATACACCCAGTATGGTGCAGGAAATGGTTTGAAAACCACAATGGCAACAAGGACCAGACATGACTCTTTTCCAGCAGGTGGTGTAGTGGTTAAGGGTGATGGACTCCACCCGGCCTGACCGTGGTCCTGGAGGTGACAGCTTGCTTCCTCACTTTCCCTTTCTCTCTTTCTCGCTGTCTCTGGTAAAATTAAAGAAATAATAACAACAACAAATGGAATTAAATAAATAAATAATTCTTTGAAAAAAAGAATTGTTTATCTATTATTAATTTTAACTTGTGGTAGTCATAATAGAGAAACAGAAAGAGAACGGGCAAGTGAGAAACCAAGTTGCCAGATCGGGGCTTCAAACCACTGTCACCCATGTGGGAGTCCAGTGCCTTAACCACCACAGCACCTGATGGCCCCCAGAAGAAGACTACTCTTAAGAACTGAGATTTAGGGGCCAGCAGGTGGCAGTGGCTAAGGGGGCTGTACTCCCATATGACCAGCCACGGTTCAAGTCTCAGACTTGGTGTCTCTCTCTCTCTCTCTCTCCCTCAATCTCCACCTCTCTGGTCAAGTTTAAATAAATAAAGTTAAATAGAATAACTCTAAAAAACAAAACAAAACAAAAAACCACCCTGATATTTATATTAGGGCTAACCAGAACTGGCTTGGATTTAAGGATAGTAAAACCATTAACTTTGTTTTTGGGCATCTTGATGTCCCTTTTATTATTTATTTTTAAGGTTTTGACAATAGAGTGCCTGCACTCACCCTTACCAGAAAGATGGAGTGGGAGGTAAAGTGAGAAATCACTCCCCCTTAGGTGGGATGGCCACTCCGCAATCCCTTCTCTTCCTGAGATTTTGGGATCACGCACACGCGCCGGGTATGATTTTTCAAGCAGCCAGGTCCGGCCTCGAACCACGCTGAGCCATGTGGGAGCCCAGCACCTTAACCACCAGGCCACCTGCTGGCCCCCTGATACTCTTTTAAGACTTCCGAGAAGTTATGTCAAGAAGTTATATCCGTATCCCTGAGCTTAACAGTTTGGAATGCACTAGGCTATCACCCAACATGAAATGACTCAAGGAACACAAATGCGACATCCTTTAGAGTAAGACCCTATCAGATTTATCTGTCTCCTAGACACAGATGTCTTCATCTGTGCACAAGACTACGAAGTAGGCACTCAGATTTTTCTGAACGACTCACATACTATTCTCCAGTCCCACCCTCTGGAGCTAGTCCTACCCACGGCCAGTTAGCGCGCTCCTGCTCACCTGTAAGCCCAAAGCACTCTTCTTTCCAGTACTTGGACTCATAAATTCGCGTCCGAATAATCTTCTCCACCAGATACTGAGGGTTGGTGCCGTGGATGCTGTGTGCATCTTTCACCGTACGGTTCGCCATTTTAGAACGCTTTGAGACCTGTTTCTGTAGGGTCCTCTAATGCGTCACATCCAGGTTAAACCAAAACTAAACCTAACGAAACAAAACTAAGCCACACAACACCACCAGGGATAGAGAAAAGTAGGGGAAATCTCACCAAACTGCTCAGGCTACCACCTTGTAACCGGAAACACTACCGCGTACGGGACTCCTTCCGGGACGGCGTCGTCGGCCTTAACAGTGATGGCCACGGCACGGTGGACGGATGTACGTCAGACGCCCTCCCTGGTGGGCGGGCCTTGCGGGGCGGATTGGACGTGACGTAGCGGGGAGGCAGCCTGGGGGCGGAGCCACGCCGTTTGGCGCGAAGTTTTCTTTTCTCCACCTTCTTGTCTTAGCTAGCAGGCACCGGCTTTGGCTCAGGCCAGTGGCCTGTGACTGTTCAAAGACGAGCTCGGCTGGTGCAAGTCAGAGTTGCCGCAGTCCCTGGAGCTCCCGACAGGGAGGCAGTAGGAAGTTGGAGGACTTGCAGCCAACCCGAGGAAGTTTCGGCACCCGGTGAGTTGGCGCCTTGCGGGCTGGAGGGGGGTACCCCCGGAACTGAGGACGCCGTTCTCTACTCTCTCATCACTCAGTCACTCAGCAGACGTGTACCAAGCGCCTGTTACGTGCCAGGCACTGTTGTGAGCCCAATGGGAGCGTTCCCCTTTTGCACCTCCGAATTCCTAAAAGGCTTTTCTTCGTACCAAGGACTAGAGTTTGCAGTGGGGAAGTCAGAAACCAACAGCGCAGAAGCGTGAGCACTCCTGTCCTCAGTGCCCTGGACTGCCAGTGTTGGTCCTAGCCTTTCCTTCTATGGCATTGCTTTTGTAAAGCACTCGCTTCATTTCTCCTTTGAGCCACGGTGTAGCATTACTAGGGGGAAGGAGGAGTAGTGCCCTATGATTCTGGGCGTCATTTCTGACTAATCGGTTTAGACCCCTCCCCTCTTTTTTCCAGATAAACTGCTGTATTAGCTGGTCCCCTATCCATCTTCTTTCCAGAAGAGAAGTCTAGTAGCACTGGTTCTACTTTTCTCTGGTCTAGCCCCAAAGTAGAAAGGCCTTCAGTTGTGACAATTGGAAAGAGCGCTGGAGATGCGAGATTCCTATCCTGGCCTATTTGTGATACTACAAGGATTAGCTATAATCTTATACCCTCTTTCCTGCTGTATTAGGTGGGTTGTGGATGCCAATGGCATTTACAAGGTGATGGCATGGTTTATCCTTCTGCAATGGTTTGTAATTATAATAGAGGATTGTGAATCCCCTAAAATTGAATGCAGAATTTTGTGTGAATTGTGAGTTCTGTATCATTCCTCAAATTATACTTTAAAGATAAAATGAAACTGGGGCTGGCAGGTGGCATGGTGGTTAAGGGTACTGGACTCCCACATGGTCTCCTGAGGTTTCCAGTCCTGGACCTGGCAGCTTACATTCTCATTTTCCCTTTTTCTCTCTCTCACTCTCTGGTCAAATTAAAACAAACACATAAGTAAAATTAAGTTAAAATAATTCTTAATAAATAAAATAAAATCATTATCTCTTAGAAATAAAGTCAAGGGATTAAGGAAGTGGGAGGATGTATTTTGCATTTTTCTCACTTAATCCTTGATAATCCTAGAGTAGTGCCCGGCCCATATGGATGCTTAATAAATAAGTATTGGTTGAATAAAAGAAAGATTCTGTTATTTACATTTTATAGGTAAGAAAGTCGAGACGGAGTTGACCCCTCATTCAGTAACTGAGGAATCTGACATAATAACCATACCACAAGCAGTCTCTCCCATGCATACATGAATACTATAATCTCACAGTATGTTCTATGGTGACATAGATAAAAGCATTGGAATCTGGCTGGCTCAGGGTTCGAGTTAAGACTGTGCCATCCTGTATTACTTTGGGCACATTGTCACTTCAGAGTGATAACATCTACTTTTCATTTGGTAAATGTTTATAATCGTATGCCTACCGTGCACTGTGTAGTAGTATCATTCTAATATTACTGTAGGAAAGAAAGTATGTCAAGAGTTTTGGCCCAACCTTCTCATACTTGCTCTTATATCTACTATCTTTTTAAAATATAGTGTGTTTACATATGTGGGTGACAAAGAGAGAAAAACACCCTCAACAGCATGTCACCGAGCTCCAGTTCCCTTTCCTCTGCCATCTAGCTCTTCAGGCTCTTGGGCGCCTGTGAGCACCTGGCGAGTTTTCAAGCTGACGTGGAGATCTGAACCCACATTTGACTATATGGCTGCCAGCCTTGAGGAGCACTTGGTTACTGAAGGACCACAGCAGCTGGCCCTGTGTTATCATGTTAATTGCAACTCATCTGTTTTCTTTGGGTGTGGCTTCCTAGACTGGGTGGTATGTGTATTCCAAATTTCTGCTATTTGTGACTTCAAGACCATATAGTATAGACCTGTGGTGTTTCCTAGAAGCTGAAACCTTCACTAAGCCATATCAGGCCTGTCCATTCGCCACTGTTTTCTTTTAGAGAGAGTTTTTTTTGCTATAGGGTACATGCACTCGCTGGAGAGACAGAGAAAAACAGAGACAGGATGTGAGAAGTCACCCCTGAGGGGATGGCTATGCTACAATTCCTTCTCTTCTCAGGATTTTGGGCACACGCACCCAGCGTGAGTTCCAAGCTGCCGGGTCTGGGACTTAAACTGTGTTCAGCTCTGTGGGAGTCCAGTGACGTAACTGTTATACCATCTGCTGGTCCCCATCACTCTTAGAGAATCTCTCTGCTGATGGTGGATGAGATGAAATGCTGCGTTGAGGGTAAGAAAGTCAACTAATTGTCCAAGATGCTTAATATCTGTTACGGTTTCCTTCTGGTGTCTCTTCAGGAAGACTCCTGATTAATCTTTTGAAACTTTCACTGAAGGATAACATACATACATTCATTCTTATATGTAAGTGATACACAGTTCGAAGAGTGCCTGTGTCACATTTGCTCATAGAAAAATATAAAATGATTTAAGAAAAATGGAGAGCCGTTAAGGGAGCCAAATTCTCTATGGCCAGCTACAATTCAACTCTGATGGCTTGTAAAACAGACCAGGCACATGCACTTGCCAGAGAGAGAAAGAGAATGCACTCTCTCTGACAATTAAAAAAAGAAAGAAAGATAGAAAAAGGAATTTGGGATGGGACTTCCCAAAGTTAGGGTTCTGACATTATAGAAGTGGAGGTGCCATGGTCTTTTGGAGACAACTTCAGCCTTCCCTCATTGCTGTCCTTGTTTTCCCCCAGGATTCGTCATCTCCCACATCTGGGATACAGCTATACAGTTTTCTTAAAGAGAAAATAGTGGGCCTGCCCTGTAACCTGGTGGCTAAGGGATCCAGATCCCATGCAGTTGACCAAGGTGCAAAATATGGTCCTGGCATCTTGAAAAAAACATGCCTTGTGCATTTGTGCCCCAGTTCTCAATAGTACAGAGAAATGGAGGAAAAGGGTTGCAGTGGGACTATACCTCATTGGGAGGTGCTTCCCCTCCCCTCTCCCTTGGTTTCTCTCTGGCAGGACACATGCCCTCTGGCAATTTTTAAAAAAAAATGAAAAAAAAAAAAAAAAAAAAGATACTACTCAGTTAGCCAATACTCAAATAAGAAACAAATTATAACCGGCATCCCAGAAGCACCCTCTCCCTGCAGTGTCCCCTTGCAGTCACCTAAGTTGTCATCTGTTCTGACTCTTAATAAAGTAATTTATTTTTGTGTTTTTGAACTTTGTATAAGTGGTATCAAGGTGGTATATATTTGTTTGGTATCTGATTTCTTTAGCTCAAAACCGTTTTGTGAGATTTCCAGGACTCGAACTGCAGTTGGCCATGTGGGAGTCCAGCACCCTTAACCACTATACCACCTGTCAGCCCCCTGTCCTGATGTTTTTAAAAAATCAGTTCATTCGGTCATTTACTTTACCTAATTGCCAGCATCTGACCTAGGCCCAGGGGTGCACAGGGCCTTCCTCTTTTAGAATTGAACCTGCTGGGGCCCCAGGTGTAATGGTAGTTGAGGTGCTGGACTCCCACATGGTCGACCACAATTCAAGTCCCGGCCCTAGTGGCTTGCTTTCTCACTTTCTCTTTCTTACTCGCTCTGTGTCTCTCTCTGGTCAGTCTTAAAAATAATAATACATTTTTAAATTTGTAAATAAACCTGCTAATGGAAGCACAATGAATACATGACATAATGTTTATTGCTTTGACGATATGGTGGTGTAACAGAACGTGACCTAGGGGTATAAGGAAGTGTGGGCAACTTTTCACTGGCTGTCAGTAAAAGCCTCTCTGAGGAGTTTCATTGGGGTTGAGACCTGAGCCATCACTGCAAAGATGGCCTAGACAGAAAACGGCAGCTTTGAAAGTCTGAGGGCACTTACAGTCTTAGTCTGCTGAAGCTGTAGAAAAGCAGGCATGGAACAGAGTAGTGAGGATTATATGGAGTAGGGCCTAGTAGCCTTCCCTTCTGGTAACTCCACCTCAGCCTGGGTGAGTCACCGGCCCTTGCACACATTTACTGGCCTCATTGAACACAGCCCAAATTAAGATTCCTGAAAAGAATCTTAGATTAAAATTCCTAGAAGGAATCTTAATTTTTACCTTGGCTTATTTTTTTTTAAGGAGTATGCCTGCTTTGTTAAGGAGTGTGTCTTCCTTTATTAAAATACAAGAGAGCTTCAAAAAATGGAATTAAAATTTGAGTTTATTTTGATGTAAAAAATTCTGAAAGTTGTGTATAATTTTTTCTTAATACATGTTTTCCATGAACTTTTCTTTATTTGGTAAGTTTTTGCCACCGGTAGTGTGTGTTTATAACAGACAGTGAAAAAGAAAGAGAGAAAACCCCTCTTTCCCCACCAGGGGTGAGGGAGGATAGCCACATTGCAGCCCCTTCTTTATACTCTCGGGATTTGGGGCATGCACACACACGTGTCTGGCATGATTTTCAAGCCAACAGGTCCAGGGTTCGAACCACATTAGGCCATGTGGAAGTCCAGTACCTTAACCACTGCGCCACTTGCTGAACCCTCTGTCAACTTTTTGTAGATTCTAAATATAGTCTGGATTCAGAAGAACGGAGAACATGGATTTATGCCCTTAGATATATTTATTTGAGTATTTTATAGGTATGGAAATAATCTTTCTATCTGCCAATTTTTGGTTTGAAAAAATGAAATTATTGTGCCAGTGAAATAGAATGTCACTCTCAAAGGGATGTACAGGCCATTTATCCTGCAGTTAGATTAGTGAAGAATTGTAGAAAGTTTGCTGGGAGACACCAGTTTGATGTTAAATCATCTGTTAAAAGGAACATACATTGGGCTAGCCTAGTGGTTAAAGCTTTTGGACCTCACTTGACTGCACAGTTTGAGTCCTGGACCCAGTGGCTTGAAAAACATGCTGGCATCAGCGATGGCATAATGGTTATGCCGCTGAATTCCCACATGGACAACCATGGTTTGAGTTCCAGACCCCATGTCATAAAACTCATACTGGACATGTGTGTGTACATGCCCAAAATCCTGAGAAGAGAATGAAGGAGAAGGGATTGCTGCATGGCCATCCTCCCTGGGGGGTGATTTCTCCCTTCCTGTCTCTCTGGGGAGTCCATGTGCCCTATAGCAAAAATCTCTCTTTAAAAAAAAAAATTGGAAAAATATGTTGGGAACCAGCAGTTAGCGTAATGGCTATGTCGCTGGATTCCCATGTAGTCGACCGCGATTCGCGTCCCGGACCCGGTGGCTTAGAACTCATGCCGGGCGCGTGTGCGTGCGTGCCCAAATCCCGAGAGGAGAATGGAGGATAATGGATTGCGGCGTGACCATCCCCCCTAGGGGGTGATTTCTCGCTTTCTGTCTCTATGTCTCTCTGTCTGTCTGGCGAGCACACGCGCCCTATAGTGAAAACCTCTCAAAAAAAAAAAAAAAGGAAAAATATGTTGTGTTTGTGTGCATGTCCAAAATCCTGGAAAGAGGGCGAAATGGAGGAGGAGGAATTGTAGAATGACCTTACTCTATGGGAAGTGCTTTCTAGCTCATCTTCTTCCTCTCTGTCTCAGTCTAGTACATGTACCCTGTGGCAAACTTTTTTTAGAAAGGGAATATTTTAAATCATTGGAAAAGTCATGACATATTTTGTTGTGGTTTTCTATGCAAAAATGCCCCATGACTTTCCCAATGACCCAGTATTTTGGCCCAGCCCTGATAGTGCACACTGGAAACCGTCAAAGTCTGATATGTGCATCTGGAGTCCCAGCCCCTTTGGGAGACGGAGGCAAGAAGATTGTGAATTAGTCAAACCCTATTTAGAGAAGAAGAAAGACAAAGAAGATGTTACTATTACGTATTTTGTTATATTCTTGAACATTTACTTATATTCACTTTTACTAGCTTTTATCAAAAGCTTATTGGATATTATGAATCCAAGTTCATTTTTTCGCAAGGGCACAAGTCTCTTATTCATCAGTCTTTGCTATTTGATCATTTCAACTCTGTACTTAATTAAAATTAGATTGATTTTAATAGTAATATGTTATGAATTATACTCTAAATGACTTGATAGCAATCATTTCTTCATCTTTTGCAAGCAAGTTATTAACAACTTAGCATCTTTGCTTTTCTATTTACTCAAAGTTTATTTTAAAATACCATTTTTAGGGACCAGCAGTTAGCGTAATGGGTATGTCACTGGATTCCCATGTAGTCGACGTGGTTTGAGCCCCGGACCTGGTGGCTTAAAACTCACACCGGGCGCATGTGGGTGCATGCCCAAGATCCCAAGAGGAGAATGGAGGAGAAGGGATTGTGGCGTGGCCATCCTCCCTGGGGGGTGATTTCTCACTTTTGCCTCTCTCTCTCTGTCTGTCTGGTGAGCCCACGCACCCTATGGCAAAAACCTCTCCAAAAAAAAAGGTTCCCAAGTAGAATGTAGGATATAATGCCACTGGACTAAAGGAAGTCAGCTGGTTTAATTCGATGTTGATAGACTAGACTATGCTAATTCTATTGTTTTCAATAGAATGAAATCATTGATCTAGTAATTCTGTCAGAATAATTCTGTCAGGATGGATTTTCTTCTTTTTAAACCATGGTTTACCAAACTTTAGCTCCAAAAGAAAACATGGAATTCAGGGGAATGGCTTAATACTTTTTAAAATTACTCAGACTTGAAAGGTTTATTACTTTTGGGCCAGCAGATGTTTAGTGGTTACATTGCTGGACTCCAACATGGCTGACCATGGTTCAAAATCATGTCAGGCGCATGTGGATGTGTACCCAAGATCCCAGGAGAAGATGGCGTGGCCATTCCCCCTGCAGGGTGACTGCTCCCTTTCCTTCTTACTATGTCTATCTCCCTGAGGCAAAAACCTCTAATAAAAAAAGGGTTTATTACTTTTAAATTATTTAAACATACAAAATAATAATGATATTGTTATTGGGTCCAGTAGAGTGTAGTTTCCGAATTTTAGAGAGAATTATGTTTGTTTGTTTTTTATTTGTATTTCTGTCACTAAAAATGTCTTTTTTCCCCATGTACTTTAATATAAGCATTTCTTTTCAGTTACTCATAATACTCACATCCAGGATCTGTCAGCTGCAAGGGAAAATACCCCTTCCAACTGCCAGTGCAATACAGGTTAGTAATACTGATAATTGTTTTTAAATGTGAATAGAAAGATAGACTTGTTAAAACCCATTGCCTTCTCCAAAATGTGGGTTGCATGTTTTTGCCTGGAGCCCTTGGATTCCTTCTTTCATTCTTTTTCATCTTATCACTGTATACTAGTCAGTCAGCTCAAGAAATACCTTTAGGAAGTCTTTCTTCTTTGAACAGCCTGAAGACCTGCTTATCTAACTTCAGTTCATCTTTCTGGACTTTTCACAGTATAAGTTCTATGAACATTTTTGTGAAATTGCTTTTATATTTATTCCTATGTGGGTTGAAATGAATTGAATGAAGACATTCACAGCTATTTTACCATTGTCTTTTCATTTTAGACTGTTAGGTATTTCACACCAATTGTAATGCTTTGTTTCCAGTAAGTACTTCAAAACCTTTATAGGTTTCTTTTCTTACATATTGACCCTGTTTCCCTAGGGAAGAGATTAGGCATAGTACAGGATGTCAAAGACAATATTGAATGGCCCATGTTTAACCTTTATAGAGCTTAACATTTTCCTCAAAGAAAATGTCATCTACATTTCAAATGTGTGGGATTAGATAGGAGCAGAAAAAAGCCTGAATTTAGTGAAACCAAAGACTGACAATGTCATAGAACATCAGAGTGTTGTTATGGTAACTCAAAGTTAGAATTTTTTCACAGAAGCCATGGCATACTACCCTACAAGACTGAAGACCAGGCGATCTTATTCATGGGTTGGCAGGCCATTGTTGGATCGAAAACTACACTACCAAACCTACAAGTGAGTGATGGGTTCTTTGGTTGCCCTGGAAATAACGGCTTCTCAAGCAAAACTTTTTATTTTTAAATTATTTATTTATTTATTTTAATTTTCCTAGAGAGGGACAGAGTAAGAGAGAGAGAGAGAAAGTGAGAAAGCAAGGCAAGTCCAGGACTCGAACTATAGTCTGTCATGTGGGAGTCCAGCACCCTTACCCACCATGCCACCTGCCAGCCCCTCAAGCAAACTATTAAGAGCTTATATCCAGCCTGTTGTAGTTACTACAGATTGAGGATTGAATGGGACAAGTTGATTGATTGTAAGAGGAACTTGACTGATGCGAGAAGATAGTAGCATAAATATAGCAGTTGGTGATGGAGCAAAATTATGACAAGTTAATAAAATTTGCTATACATGGGACCAGCAGATGATGTAATAGGTCCCTGGATTCACATGTAGCCAACTACAGTTCAAGTCCCAGACCCAGCGGCTTAAAACTCATGCTGGTCTCATGTGTACCTGCCCCAAATCCCAAATGGAGAATGGAGGAGAAGGGATTGTGGCGTGGCCAACCTCCCCCCAGGGGGGTATTTCTTGTTTTCTGTCTCTCTGGCAAGCGCATATGCTCTATACCAAAAAACTCTCTCTAAAAAAATAAATAAAATTTGCTATATACGATCATGTACCTATCTTAGGCGAGTTCTCTGTAACTCTTCATGCTACCAAAATGATAAATGTTTTTATGTCCTTCCCATCCCTAGAGATCTCTGATTTGATATTGCTATTGGGCAACTTTCAAGGAAAGCTTTCTTGGGAAGCTTTTATAATTCTTTGTCAATAACCAAAAGAAGTTAGGGTTTATGTAAAGGCCTCTGGGTTTACCACTTAGCTAAAACAACTTATCCAATTCATTTTGTCTACTCATTTCGGGGTGAATTGGTTTTCCAGTAAGAGAGAAACTGTTTAGAGGATTTTTCTGTTAGAGCCTTTCTTTTGTGGTCAAAAGTCTGAAAAACTTGGCCTACCCCACATGATTGTCTGACATATTTCTTTTTTACTTCCTAGAGAAATACGTGTGAAAATGGAAGGTTCCAGTGAGATTCATGTCCAGGTTGGACAGTTTGTTCTGATTGAAGGGGATGATGAGAAAAACCCGTATGTTGCTAAATTGATTGAGTTGTTTGAAGATGGTGAGTGAAAATCATTCCTTGTCCTGAATGATTGGGAAGCAGGGAGATGGAAGTTTGCTGTTTCCTCTGTTCACAGATGCTGCAGGGTACCTTAGACTTTGAAGTGAGGTCACAGAAGCACTAGCTATATCCTTTCCATCTATAAAGCTTAATCACTAGATCAGTGACTCCAAATGGAAGTGGAGGACTCAAGAATTTAGCTTTCTCATTTTTGCAAGTGCAGCCTTTTTATGGGGAGAAGGCAAATTGGATTGGGAAGGTTTATCAGTTGGTGTTCAGTCAGGAAAACAAACTTTAGATGTTTCACCTCCAGATGTTACAGAAAACCAGATGCCAGGGAATGGAAAGCAGTCTGCGATCACGGAGGAGTTAACACTGAATCTTCAGCCCCAACTGGGACTTAGACATGGTCTTTTATGGGGGAATTGGGGAAGGAGCAGTCTCGGGGTGGAGATTGGGCTCATATCCCACCCTACATAGCATCAAAGGAGGGAGTCAGAGAAGCAGAAAGTCTAATCCATTCAAGGTTTTCATGTTATCCAGTAGCTCTAGGGAGGGGCAGTAAGTTTGCTGGAGGGCAAAAATCTTAGACAGCAATCAGCGCTGAGTTATTCATGAATTCAGGGTCTCTCCATATCTGGAGGAGTGGAGTTTAAAGACAATAGGAGTGTTTATCATTCTGTTTACTCTTAGGCAAAGGAGGTGAAGGCAAGTTTCTAGTCATAAGAATTTTTTTTAATTTAATTTTATTTATTCATTCATTTATTTTTAATTTGACCAGAGAGAAGACAGAGAGAGAATGAGAAAGCAAGCCACCAGGTCCGGGACTTGAACTGCAGTCGGCCATGTGGGAGTGTCCAACACCTCAGCCACCACGCCATAAGAATTTACAGTTTATAATGGAGGCGCTCCTCCAAGATGGAGTCTTGCCTTCTTCAAAGAGACTGTATTTGTGGAAAGGGCCAGCCTGTGGCACAGTAGTTAAGTCACTGGATCCCACATGGCTTACTGTGCAGTTCGAGTCCTGGATCTGGAAGCCTGAGGAACATTCCAGACCTGTGTACATGTGTACCCAGAATTCTGAAAGGAGAAGGAAATGGAGAAGGGATTGAAGTGTGATCATTCTCATAGGGTGTGCCTTCTTGCCTTTTTCTCTTTCTTTTTTTTTTTTTTTTTAAGAACTACTTATTTAATTTTGGGACCAGATGATGTAACAGCTACATCGCTGGACTTCCACATAGTTGACCGCAGTTTGAGTCCTGAACCCGGTGGGTTAAAACTTACACTGGGCATGTGTGCCCAAAGAGACCAGAAAAGGGATTACAGCATGGCCATCTGCCCCAAGAGGGGGTGATTTCTTGCTTTCTGTCTCTGTCTCTCCAACAAGCTCATGTGTTTTAGAGTGGGGGGAAAGGGGGGGGAGGAATTATTTATTTAATTATTTAAAAATTTGTTGCAGAGCACTTGTGCTCACCAGGTGGAGGGAGAGGGAAAGTGCATGTGGGGGTCTAATACCTTCACCACCATGCCATCTGCTGATCCCACTTCCTTGCTTTCTTCCTTTGTCTTCTGTAAGTACCTGGGAATACATGTATTCTCTGGCAGAATGTGGAAGGAAAGTTGATCTTTCCCATAGGTATAGTAAGTGCAGGAAGGCGCTAATTGCCTCTGGACTGAGGAGCAAAAGGGAAGACAGCAACTACAGCCTACAAGCCCACACTCACAGGCTCACCTGGTGCACCGAGCTTCCAACCCTCTATAAGAGAGCACGGGACGGTGGGAATAGGGCAGAGCTCCGATGATCATGAAGAAAGACTGCGACTGTGATTTGAAACCACAATAGTCTCTACCTTATCCTTAGGGAATGTGTTTCAAGAGCCCCAGAGGAGCCTGAAACCACAGGTGGTGCCAAGCCCTATGTGTAACGTGTTTTTTCCTTTATGTACATACCCTCTGATGAAGTTTACACATTAGGCACAATCAGAGATTAATTACAACAGTTAATAATAAGACATGGTTAACCTTCCTAGCTGAAACCACAGAAAGGGAAATCGCAGATAAAAGACTACTGTTTGCCAGAGGGCACGCAGCACTTGCTGGAGAGAGAAATGGAGAGAAAGTACTGCCTGCCCCAATGGGACGTGACCACGCCACGATCCCTTCTTTATTTCTCTGTTCTTTTGGAATATGGGACACGCATGCGTGTGCACCTAGCATGTTTCTTTTTTTAAATTTTTTTTCGAGAGGTTTTTGCTATAGGTTGCGTGCGCTTGCCAGACAGACCGAGAAAGACAGAGAGACAGAAAGTGAGAAATCACCCCCCCCCCCGGGGGGGGGGGGGCGCAAAAAAGGGAGTGGCCACTCCGCAATCCCTTCTCCTCCATTCTCCTCTCGGGATCTTGGGCACACACACACACGCGCCCGGCATGAGTTTTAAGCCACCAGGTCCAGAACGCGAACCGTGGTCGACTACATGGGAGTCCTGCGACATAGCCATTACGCTAACTGCTGGTCCCAGCACCTAGCATGTTTCTCAAGCTGCCAGGGCTAGCATTCAAACCATAATCAGCTACTTACTCAGCGGGCTACGGGGCCAACCTCCAAAACTGCCTGTTCTAAGAGATAGGAGCGGATTTACATGTTAGTTAGGTAGTCCCCTAGCAGTTTGGATATCTAGGAGAAGGAATCAATAGAGTGAATGTATAAAGATGTTTTTACATTACACAGTTGGGAGGGCTATTTGACAAGTATGGCGAAAAACTTTATCAAACTAACATCCACTAGAGGGAGCACACCAGCAGAAATGTGGGCTTTTGCATCTGGATAGATTTTAGTCATTGCATGATGTTCCATTGGATGGCTTCCATCTTTCTCCTGTGAGAGCCGAGAAGAGACGATGATGATGATGGCACTCATGAGTGTATATCTTTACCTGGAGCTAAAGCTGACATGGAAAAATATTAATGGTATATATTACAGTAATAAAAAGTTGAAGGTTACAAGGACATGTGTACCAGAAGTTACCTCAGTAGTACCTAATTCTTGCTTGGGTTTTTGTTTTGCTGTTGTGCGAGGCTGCCTTAATTACTAATTTGCAAGCTTTGTTGATGATTTGTTGGGTGCCTGTGATTAGGGCAGCTCCTCTCAAATATCTTTCGCAATTCCTTTGTCCACTGATAGTAACACCAGGAAGTGGAGCAGGATGAGAAGAGCATAGGTATAGGGTGGAGTCACGTTGCTGCTGATTGGTCCTGTGACCTTTGACAAATACCTGATTGCTTTGCCTGTAGAAGAGGGATAGCAATAGTACCTACCTGGTTGGGTTATCATGAAGATCAATGATGCTCAGCATAGTCTGGCATTTGGGATGTGCCCAATGAACTGTCTCATGTTTTCTTAGCCTTCCCTTTTCACCTGATTCCACCTAGATTCTCAACCTCGTTTCAAGAAACGCGCTCGAGTACAGTGGTTAGTTCGATTTTGTGAAGTCCCTGTTTGTAAACAGCATTTGCTGGGGCGGACACCTGATGCAGAGGAGATATTCTGGTATGATTACCCTGCATACGACTGCAACATTAATGCTGAGACCATCATTGGCTGTGTTCGGGTAGGTGATCTCTCACGTTCTGTCTCTCTGTCTCTCTCTATCTTTCTGGCGAGTGCATGTGCCCTATAGCAAAAATCTCTCCAAAAAAAAAAGTATACGTAAATTGTATACCTTTAAAATACTATGCATGAATTTCACACATTTTTTAGCATCTAAATAAGCTGGTACTTTAATTCTGTTTTTCCAGGAACTTTTCAAAATCTCCATTGGTGTCTTTAAAACTGTTATTGGAGGACCAGCAGATACTCTAATGGTTATATCGCTGGACTCCCATGTAGTCGACTGCCATCCGATTTCTGGACCCAGCAGCTTAAAACTTAAAGCTGGGTGCATGTATATCCCGGAAGGAGAATGGAGAAGGGATTGTGTGTGGCTATCCACCCTGGAGGGCAACTTTTCATTTTCTGTTATTTTGTCTCTCCAGCAAGTACATGCACCCTGTAGCAAAAATCTCTCCAAAAAGAAAATATTATCGGTTAAATGAGTAAGTGTTCAGTAACTATTCATAGATTTTTCTCTCCTTTTTCTTTTTTTCTCTTTTTTTATAATTTACTGGATGGTGCTAATGGTCATTGAAGAGGGAGAACGAGTGAGAAAGCACCCTCTCTTGGGTTTGGTCATGCCACAACCCCTTCTCCATTTCTCCATCCTTTTGGGATTTTGGGCACACGTATACACGAACCCACCCAATATGTTTTCAGGCAGTGGTCTGGGACTCAAACCATGAAATTGACCATGTGGAATCCAGCCACTTTCACCACCGTGCCACCAGCTGGCCCCTTAAATGTTTTTCCAAGTGTGTGTTATGCATGTCTCTGACTCTATAGGTCCACATATAGCTGGGGGGTTAAGTGGTTTTTAATCATAGCTCTTGGTAGATTATTCCTTGGTTCCTTTGGTCCTTATCTTTTTTATTCACCCATATTTCCTAAATTCAGGTAGTAGCATTAGCCCCAGATGAAGTGATTCCTATGGACCTGAAAAATGAGAAGACACTTTTTGTGAAGCTATCTTGGAATGAAAATAATTTCAGGCCACTATCTCCAGAACTATTTGCAGAGTTGAATAAATTGCAGGAAGGGAGCCCCGAGTGCCAGAACCCCGTGGGAGCCAAGACTAAGAGCACAGAAAACCCTTCTTGGACCACAGCAGAACATGTGGTCAAAAGGATAGAATCGAAACATTCTGCCTCCAAATCTTGTCAAACTCCTGTACATCCTGTCACCCCACGGGCAAGGAAGAGGTTGGAGCTTGGCTGTAAGTGTGTAATGGGTCACAGCAGGCGATATTGGGGCTAATGGAATATGATAAAATAGTAATTCATATAGCACTATAGAGTTAGTGTAGCAGTGAACCAGGTACTGATTGGACACGTGTTGAAATATACATGGCTCTAAGGAAGACGAACAGCCAAAAAGCATATGAGGAAATGCTCAACATCTCTCATCATAAGGGAGATGCAGATAAAAACCACAATGAGATACCACCTAACCCCTATCAGAATGGCAAAGATTAAGAATATAAAAAGTGATAAGTGTTGGCGGGGATGTGGTGAAAAGGGAACCCTCCTACACTGTTGGTGGGAATGTAAACTAGTTCAACCACTGTGGAGAACAATATGGAGGTTCCTCAAAGATCTACAAATAGAACTACCATTTGATCCAGCAATCCCACTTCTGGGTATTTACCCAAAAGATAGGAGAACGCTCAGTCAGAAAAGTGCTTGCACATCAACGTTTATTGCAGCATTATTCACAATTGCCAAGACATGGAACCAACCTAAATGTCCACAAACTGATGAATGGATTGGAAAAGTGTGGTATATATACTCTATGGAATACTACTCAGCCATAAAAAATAACAAGACCCTGGAATTTGATAGAAAATGGTCAGATATGGAGGATCTATTGCTGAGTGAAGTAAGCCAGGCTATGAAAGAAAGATATTGTATGTATCCACTCAATATATACCGACTATCCGCACTCTATAATAGAGAGCAAAAATTCGGAGGACATAAACACAGTGAAGGTACTTAATGAGAATAGGACAGTGTGGAATGGGGTAAGTGAAGAGAAGAGGATAGAGAAAGATAGCAAGTGAACAATAGAGAGACAGGACGTTAGTGAGAAACAGATATGGCTTATTAACTGTTGATGATGACATGTATAGTATTCTCAACTGGACTGGTCTGAGAAGTATTTCATGATGGGCAAAGTATTTTTACAAGCAAAATGAGAAATAGCGATTGACCGTTTTAAAAATAATTAGAGTAATAAAAATAATGATTGGGGAAAACATAGAAAAGATATTGAATGTTGAAGCGGGGAGATTAATGTCTCTGTACTGACTAACATACATAGCATTCCCTTTTGAAAAAACAATGTAATACACTGTAAAGTTATATGTAATCCAATGTAATATAAAGAAGATTATGATGATAATAAATAAAAATTAAAAAAAAAAAGAAATATACATAGCAGGCTAGCCTAGGGCATGGTGGTTAAGGTGGCTGGATCCCACATGGCTGACTGCACAGTTCAAGTCCTGGACTTACCACCCCAAAATTGACATATGCCCCTTTGTCAATCCCTGTCTCCTCCCCAAGCTACTAGTAACCACCAATCTAATTTGTTTGCTGTCTTTATTGGTTTACCTTTTCTGGAAAGTTGTAGTTGGAATCACACAGTCTGTAGCCTTGGAATCTGACTTCTTTCACTTGGCATCAAACATTTGAGAGTTAGTTGTGTTTTATTTGTCAGTGGCTTATTTCTTTTTAATTGCTGAGTAGTATTCTATTGTATGGATTTACCACAGTTCATCCCTTCCCAGTTTAAGGACATTTGGGCTATTTCTAATTTTGGGTGATTATAAATGAAACTGTCTCATGTTTTCTTAGCCTTCCCTTTTCACCTGATTCCTCCTAGATTCTGAACCTCGTTTCAAGAAATGTGCTCTAGTACAGTGGTTAGTTTGATTTTGTGAAGTCCCTGCCTGTAAACAGCAGGCACTAGCTAGCTCTTCTATGTTGTCTGCAGCTGTCCCCTACACACCGTGGGCTGTGACTAAAGCAAACTCCTTTGTGCTCTGAGCTTTCCTGCCTTTCTGCCATAGCTCATATCCGTCTCTCCTTATTCTCCACACATGGCTCTTCTTCCCCTTCTTTCACGATCTATCTCAAAAGCTATCTTTTTAGCACTGACACGCTTTAGGACTTTTATTTTACTTTATATTGTACCTACTCATCTGAACTATCTCCCCTAGCGAGGTTAGTGTCTTGCGTATGAGCCAGCATTGAGTCTCATCCAACTTTTGCTTCCTCCAACTACCAGGCACATACTTTGCCATTTTAACAGCTCAGTTGATAATCTATGAACAAATGAATGGTGCTTGTTCTATGACTACCTGAAAAATCCCTCTTCTCTTGATTGGCATGTATAGTATGAGTTCAGAAAAGTTAGTTGCATCACTTGTATAAATTGCTTTGAATACTGTTGAGTTAGGGGAGGGTATGCATGCTTATATCACCCCTGGTTAGGAACCACTGTTCTGGTAGACTATTTCAAAGGAACCTAATTGATGAACATTTATCCACAAAAGCTGACTTAAAGTTGACTAACAGATCTAAGTAGGAAAATCACTCATGAAATTTAGAAGGGAGAAGAAAAATTATTAGGGCTACCTGGACAAAGAAATCATGGAATAATGCAAAGTATGGCTAACTCATGCCTTTGTATAACTTCAGTAGATTAATTAGCTATAATGAGGGGTTTATATGTTGCTCTAGGTATAAAGCTCAAACATTGTCTATGGGCTGTTTTTCTTGGGCTTAGGTTTCCCAACGACACCTAGCACTAAGATTTCCCAGCAGACTTCACATGCCTCCGTAGAGTCTCCGAGGAGAATTAAACGGAAAATGGTCTTTGGAATCACCTCGCCTTCTAAGAAGTCTCAGCCTGATAGAATTGAGAACTCATCTCCACTTCTGAAAGCCTCAGAGGAAACTAGAGAGATTCGACTCTCTTGTACTGAGGATGACAAGGCTTCACCTGAAAGTCACATGACCCTGAGAACCCGAGTTCCAGCTATGAAAACCACAGAGATTACTAAGGAGAGCATGCTTAACCCTACCAAAGGGGGACGAAAATCCTCAGGGGTGCCTGCTATGGTTCTGAAGCCAGAAATCATCAGAAAGAGGTGACCAGCGATACTTTCTTTCCACAGAGCAAATTGAACTATTTCAAGGATGCAAGATGTGTGGGTCATAGTGAAAAAAAATTAGAGCGGTAGGTGGTAAGCGTGGTCATGTCACAAAATCATTGAGGAACTTTTCCAGAAGAAATATTTCTGAGCCTCTTCCCAGACCTAGTAAATCAGGCTCCAAATACTGGGCCTAGGAATCTATTTCACATTGCTCTTAAGTCAGTATTTTGCTGTTTTGTTGTGTCTGGAAAGCATTCTGAAACATACAGTACAAAAAGAAAAATGTGTCCAGAACAAACTGCAGTTTGATACCAGAAAGGGATGATAGACAGTGGACTATACAGATATAAATGTGGCAAGCCAGGAATTACACGTTTCAGTGTTTCCTGTCTAGAAACTCCAGCAACTGGCTCATAATAGGTTACTCGATGAACACTTTATATTGAACAGATAGCTGGGTTTCTGCTAACCTTGAGCCTGCGTAATATACATGGGTGTGTAGATGTCTCTCTGACTGATTTCTAGACGTTTGAGGAAGCTTCAATTAAAAATTCATAAATGCATTAAAAACAATAGAGCAGAAGAAACTGCCTGAGACTTTAGTATATTTCTGGTCTCTAGTTGGGGAGGTAGTAAGTCTGATTTAAATGATAAGCTTTAGGCAAACTTTGATCTCTGAGTTTCAGTCTAGCTTCAGTTGTAAACTTTCTAAACTGTGGTCAGCTCTTTCCAAAGTAGCCGTTTAAAGAATAAGAGCCATTCAGGTCTCCCAAGTATCTTCTGGTGCCTGCTGTGGATCCCTGGCTTTGAATACTCTTCCCATAACCTCGCTATACTATCTTGCAGGGAGGCAAAAGAACCAGAAACTCAGAAGATAGCCACCCCTACTCATCGTACTCGCAGAGAGAGTTCTCGCTTGACTTTGAATCGGATTAGGCAGCAGCTTCGGTAAGACTCCTCTTCAGTCGTAGAAAGATATTGCTGCCATCTGTGATGTCGTATATTGTTTCTTGTTTGCCAGTCTATTGAAATTTACCTTTCAACTAGCAAGTTCTCACTGGACACTCGCGGTGGGCATAGGGGTTGTCTAGGCAAGCTTTCTGGGGCATTAGCAAAGGCCAGTGGGGTCATAAGGACACTAAAGACAGGTCTCTGTGGTGGTATGGGGACCAGCAGGTACACGGGGACATTGCGTGTGGGCCTCCAGCGCTAACAGGACCATGAGGGTGGTCTGGGTCACTAGTGGGGGAACAGGTTCGCTCTAGATGGGCCCACTAGGTGCTCATGAGGGCTGTGGAGAACAAGGCTGCCCAGGGTGAGTTCCTCATCTCCTCCTTTCTGCTCAGCTTAAGGGATCTCTAGCACCTTCTCTGTCAACCACCTCTCCTTTTTTTCTTTTTTTGAATTTGCTATAGGGCACATGTGCTTACCGGAGAGAGAAAGTGAGAAATTATTGCCCGGGGGGGATGGCCAGGCTGCAATCCCTTCTCCTCTGTTCTCTCAAGATTTTAGCATGCATGCATATGCACCTAGCATAGCATGTCCCTCAGCCTCTGGCTGTAAACTGCAGGTGACCATATGGGATCCAGACACCCCGGCCCCTATGCCACCAGCTGGTTCTCCCCTCCTCTTAACATTCCAGTTCAGCAAGATTAGAAGTTATATTGCAGATGCTAACAAAGGGGGCAAGGATCTTTTCTGGAATTTTACTTTGGGAGAGGGAGAGTGGGAGTGCAAGCCTCCTAGTCAGTCAGGAGGGAGTATCTTTTTTCCTTAGTCTCTTCTGTGGGGGCCGAAGGTAGGGTCCACTCACATGACAGATTCTGTTCTTCTGATCCCCTGTTCCTCCATTCCCACTGAGGTGGTCCATCTGCATTAGAGAGAGAGTATATCATGCCAGATGGGCTTGTGTGCTGGTGTCACTGCCCTACTGCTCAGTCACTGCAGCTGCCCACACAGGTGTGATGGGATCTCTGTGCGCTATCAGGGATGCGAAGATTTATAGGCTGTCCATCCTTGGGCCAGGTGCTCAGTTCTCAAAAACAGTACCACTTCACAGCTGCTTTAGATCCTGGGATATGAGGGTAACCATGGCAAGTTCCTTCCCTGTAGTCTCTGGAGCTTCCCTTTACTAGGGCCATGTGGCATACCACACTCCCAAGCAGCTAGGATGCTAGCCACAATGAGGGGAGTTTCACCCGACTTTAGCCTGTTAGGCGCAGCTCATTGGGTGCTTCAATTGCTTTTCTATGCTGTTTCTCTTGAGTTTTCAAGTTTCAGAAAACTTTAGGTATTTCCTTGGTAATTTCAAGTGTTATTCCTTATAAATTTCAATCAAAATGTATCTGAGGGGACCAGCAGTTGATATAATGGCTATGTTGCTGAACTCCCATGTAGTCAACTGTGGTTCGAGTCCCAGACCCAGTGGCTTAAACTCACGCCAGGCGCGTGTGCGTGTGTGCCCAAGATCCTGAGAGGAGAACGGGGAAGGGATTGCGGCATGGCCATCCCCCCTGGGGGTGATTTCTCGCTTTCTGTCTCTCTGTCTCTCTCTGACTTTCTGGCGAGCGCACGTGCCCCATAGCAAAAACCTCTCCAAAAAAAGAAAAAAAAAGTATCTGTGTAATTATGACTTCCACACCTAGTTGGAGTAGATATGAGCACTGAGTACTTCCCATCAACCATTTTAAATCTTCTCCTTGCAAATCTTCTATTGCCTGGTCACAGGAAAGACTGCTATACTGCAAATCAACTCTGGCATTTATGGAGCTCTTACTTAGACTTGAACACTGACTATCAGAAAATGATGTCCCACTTACTCAGCTTTCTAGGTAATGGTAAACATGACCAAGAAGAGGAAGAGTTTCTGCCACCATCAAAGAGTACAGACTCTAGCAGTGAGGAGGAGGAGGAAGGGGCCCCCCCACCACCCTTTCCAAGGAGGACAACCCGAAGTATGTCTAAGAATCTGCGTTCTTCTCGGAAGTCCATACAGGCCTCCTCCAAGACACCAAAGAAAACTGTAAGATTCTTTTAGGTTTATTTTCCAGTGGAGCATTGCTCTTAATTTAGAAGTTATAAATGAGGGCCAGCCTTATGGCCTACTGGTTAAGGGAACTCAATCCCACATGGCTGGCTACAGTTCAAGTCCCAGCTGTGGCAGCCTGAAAAACTGCCAGGTACATATGTGTGCCTGTCCAAAGACCTGACAGGATGGAGACATGAAAAAGCAGGAATTGTGATGTGACCACATCCCATTTGGGGTTGAGTTCTCCTTTCCCCTCTGTCTCTCTCTGGTGAATACATGTGTACTCTGACCATTAAAAAAAGGAAAGTTGTAAATGCTAAGGTCAAACAATTAGTCACAGCAGGATCTGAGCACAGATCTTTCATATTCAAAGATCGTTCTTTTGAAGTATTCCTGGAGGAAAGGATCTAGGTGAACCCTAGGAGTGAAAATCTGGGAGATTTTCAGTTTTTGAGTTCAAGTCCCCTTTTTAAGGTACAGAAGCAAATGGCCAGGAGCCGAACTTCCTAAGGCAAGCTGCAGTAGTGTGTGCTGGTTGACAGTTAACTTGGCAGCCTGGGGCCACAGAGGAGGCCTGGGTTTGATTCCTGACCCTGAAACCTGGGCATGGCGGGGGTTGCTCATGTAGTCTCAGTTACTGGGCAGAAGGAGTGCGACAGAGACCCTGTCTAAAACACAGACAAAACGTAACTGCACATCTTTAGGTTTTCCACAGAGAACACTAGCAGAGTGCTTTATGAATAGCTAGTACTCAGTGGTTGAATCCAGGGGTGCTGATGTGGGTTTTGTCCCACTTGAAACACCCGAGAAACTGAGGAAACAGCATAGGTACCTACCTGTGATGAATCGTGTAGAGTAAAATGGATAAAGTGTATAAGAGTATGTCTTTTCTGCTTCCAGTGGACCTTTAACAGTACTGAAATGAATCAAGAAAAAGGGTCTTATATTCAGTCGTACTTGAGAACTATTTAGATTAAACAATGTAAAACCGATGGAGCACTTTGTTCTTTGGAACAGAATTGGGAAATCCTTAATTAGAAGACTTTCTAGGGCTAGCTTTGTGGCCCAGGGATAATGAACTGCTCAAGAGAAGCTGCATTCCACACACATGGCAACCATGGTGTGAATCCCTCGCCTGGTCTGCCTGCAGCATGCCGGGCATGCTCGTGAGTGCCCGAGATCCATCCGATGGGCTGGAGGACTGGAGGAAGGGAATAACAGCATGGCAGTCCCTGTAGAGGGTGTTCATCTCCGTCTCTGAACACATACTGTTTATATCTCTTTATTCTCTAGCATGAATAAAGAAAAGGGGGGAAACCAATTTTTTAAAAATGGAAGACTTTTCTAAAGCTGATCTTTTTATTTTTCCATATCAGCATTTGATTGGGCTTGGGTTGAAGTCAAAGTAAAACTTCTTGGGAAGGTCGGAAGTCTGCCAAGGTTCCTGATACCTTCTCAGTAAGGTTTTGTTGTTTCTTTCCTGTTTTCTCCAAAATTGATAGATATAAACTTTTAAAACAGACATGGTCCAGTGGCTTTCTCCTAAGGAAGAAATGGGGAGACTATTATTACTGGATAGCCAGGCTGGAAGCAGAGGGTGGGCAGAGTGAAAAGCCCCCACAGAGAGAGTGCTTTGTGGAAACACCATGGAGATGAAGATGGCGGCTGCAGGCCCGTCTGGTGAGCGGGCAGCGAGGAGGAGAAGAGGATGGGACTGCTGGCCTGGACTGAACAGACCCTGGGGCTAGGAGTAGAAAAATCTTGTGAGGTTTCTTTGAGTATTGTACCGTAGATTCGGGAGTCCTGAGCTGAAGGTTGACCATATTTTCAAACAAAGCTAGAGAAAGACCTTAGAGATGAAGACCAGTTTATATCTCCTCTTCTAATCCTGTATTTGGGCAGAAGAGTTGGGTTTCTTAATAATTTTTTAATTTTTCAAGATAATACTTTGTTTTTATTTATTTTTAATTTTTTTTTGCCAGAGGGTGCACATGCTATAAGGGGGGGAGTGAAAAAGCACACGCCCACACACACACCAAGAGGGGATGGTCTTGCCTCCATTTCATCCTCCTTTTGGGATTTTTGGGCACTTACCACATGCCTGCTATGTGTCTGGGACTCGAACTACAGTCAGCCATGTGGGATGCAGCTGCCTTCAGGACCATGCCACCAGCTGGCCTAATATTTTGCTTAGGTATAGTATTTAGCTTATTATTTCTATTTATTAAATATATTTTTAATCTATTAGATATTAAAATAGTATTAATCATTTTTTCCTTCAAATTGTCATTGTTTTTCAATCCTGGTATTGTATGTAAATTACAAAACTAAATTAGGTTCCCAAAGTGTATATGTAATGTGGGATGAAAGGAGAATCATGATTTTTTTTTTTTTTTTTTTTTTTTTTTTGT